CCATTTCTCACAAGAGGCAATACTTTTCAGAATAATATTTAAAGTTGTTCTTGGAAACTGGCTTCGCCAGGTGTGGCTTTATCTGCCACTCGTAGGTCGCAGACCGGTGTGAGCCGGGCTGGACGGCCGCGCCTCATCTGAGCCTATATCAGAGTCTGTCGGAGACCGAGGACCCAGACGCCTCGCAGTTGATAGCTGTGAAGTGATTCTGCCATGGTGTGCTCGACCACCCTGGCCCTGGTGGCCACCCTGGCCCTCCTCGCCGCTAGCCCTGGCCGAGCGCGGAAATTTGACGTCGACGACAACGTCCCCGAGATGGTCACCGAGACCGACCCCAAGTTCAAGATCCCCAAGAGCTTCCTCTTGGGTGCTGGCACCGCCTCCTACCAGACGGAGGGCGCCTGGGACAAGGATGGTAAGTGCCAGGATCGGAGGAGACAAGGCACAAGACGAATACTTTTGACGTAAAGCGCATTTTAACGCGAAATGTCTTGAGATTTTCTCAAAGTAGTAAGAAACACTACAACCCTCCACCATGCTCTTATCGGCAGGGAAGGGTGTGAACGTGTTCGACCACCTGTACCACAAGAATAATTACCCCACCAACATGACGGGCGACATCGCCTGCAACTCGTACGAACGTTACGAGGAGGACATCAAACTCGCCGCCCAGATGAACGTGAGTGAGGATTGGAATGTTACCGTAACGTCAACGTAATTGCGATAGTAATAATTGATGACCCCGATATATTCGGCTTTAGCTCGACGTCTTCCGCTTTTCCATTTCTTGGACACGGATTTTCCCCAACGGCGACGTTGCTGAAAAAAACATCAAGGGTGTTCAACACTATCACAATGTGATCAAGGCAATTAAAGCAAACAACATGAAACCACTAGTAAGTCCCCGTCGTGGTATCGCCTTGAGACGATTTTCTATTTCAGAAACTGAAAGTGAACCGATTTTCCAGGTCACCATCTACCACTTAGACCACCCACAAGCTCTGGAGACGAAGTTCGGGGGCTGGCTAAGTGAGCAGATGATAGAAGCCTACGTGAACTTCGCGGACTTCCTTTTCTCTGAATACGGCAGCGAGGTATGAACGACACAACGAGAA